TCGGGATAAATAACCAAGAAAACAATTTATTTATTCGGTTTAGAGGTTTACACATCATTATAATCACAGAGCCCACTTCACTTGAATTGTCCACTTGATGGCGCAGTAGAGCAAATGATTCATCAAAATGCTTCGAACCATGAGTCGACCAATTGGGTGGAAAGCTTCAGTTCATCATGAGGCTTCATCTCACCATCACTAAAGAAAACTACTAAACAAAAAAGGGAGGCACTTCCCACACTTCCTACTTTACTCCTCACCACGGGGAGACACTCTCAGGGCCCACAAGCCCGTCCACTCACTAGTCACAAGGAGGCTATCTGTCCAAAATCCAGCAGAAAAACGCGTACGGCCACAGAGGGGAAAAACCACCCTGCTCACAGCTCGTCCCCAGCTTAAATAGCTTCAGAGGTGATTGCTGACTGGATTCAGGTGGTAAACGAGGCTAATCAAGAGCAGCTGTGTCCTGGGGAGAGATGAGAGTGGGAGAGACAGACGGGGTAGGAGTGGCAAGAGAGGAGGAGGTGGAGAGAGCGGGCAAACACCCCACCCACACACTCCCACAGCCTCAAAGGATGTAACACTGGGTCAATCAGAAACCATGGCTCACAGGCCTAAAGGCTTCTGAGGGTGAGGAATGCCGCCTACAGAGCCACGGATGAGGTGAGCCTAAGAACAGCAAGGGCAATCCTGTCCCGTGGTATCAGAGATGAGGAAATACTTTAACAAAGTTTCAGTGACAGCAGAGATACTCAGATACTGTGGAGGAATACAAACCATCACAGACAACAAGCCCACTCCTCAGACTGCTGTCAGTTCCACCTGATGAACTAAATGAATTCTTCAATTGCTTTGGGGCACAGACCCCCACCCCAACAACTGCATAGTGAACCTATCCCCAGACAGTGTGTGGAGATCCATTGCCAGGATCAATACACACCAACCCCTAGGTCATGTTAACATCCCTGGACGAGCATTGAGGGACTGTGCTGCGGAACTCACAGATGTCTTCACAGACAATTCACAGACGAATTCATCACTGAGCCAGACTGTCGTTCTCACATGCCTCAAAGCCTCCACCATCAGTCTCCCCCTTCTGCTTTAACGACTACTGTCCAGTCACACTCACCTCCATAATTATGAAGTGCTTTGAACGGTTGGTTTATGAGGAAAATGATTCAATAACTTTCTAATAATACACAACATTTCACCATATTTCCTCATAACCCTCTTTTGTCTAACCTTTTGAATCACATATGAATTTCCAATAAAGGACTCCACAGAGTTTGGTGAAAATAATGACAGTGATGGAAGCAAATTTGTGTGTGATGTTCTTTCAGTGTTGCACTTTTTAGACGGTCCCTGAGCACTGGTCTCACAGCCAGCTGCACAACACAGACCAGTGTTGTTAGTCCAGGTCAGAAGATGACTTGTTGGAATGAAAATGAGCTTGTAGTTTGTCTGCTTTAATAATGTGACTGGAAAAAAATATGTATTCAAATATGTCAATTTCTTTCACACTTCACCAGTGAAGCCATGTGGTTCCTATAATGGAAAACATGGCTTTTTCAAGTCTTTAATTTTTTTATGATAAATCTACGACTTTAATGTGAAACATTCAGATTTTTTTCTCTTGTCTTTGTTTGAAGCTGCTTCCTGTTGGCTTCAGCTGTTTGGAGTTTTCATTGTCTAAACTTCTAGATTCTGAACCTTCTTCAGCTCTGAACAGATTATGAAACATCGAATGATTTAAAGCTCACACTTTGTCTAATAAACTTACATCTTTCATTTTTTTATACAGATTATGGGACTGTGGTTTGTCAGAGATCAACTGTGATTATCTGGCAGCAGCGCTGAAGTCCAACCCTTCCCATCTGAGAGAGCTGGATCTGAGTGGAAACAAGCTGCAGGATTCAGGAGTGAAGAAGTTGTGTGGTTTTCTGGAGAGTTCAGGATGTGGACTTGAAACTCTGAGGTCAGTCCCCATGTTTTAGTTGTGCTGAGATGAATATGATGTGAAAGTTGTGCTGACACTAAGCTGCAAACATAAGGCTGATACTATACTGATCCACACTGAGGATTTTCGTGTAAGACTCTGTTTTCTTCTTCTCTGGTTTAGTCCATGGACTTTAGCAGAGCGATGTTCACATTGAAAACATTGATACTCAACGTATAGCCACACGGGGCCCTCCACAGGATGCAGAGCGGCATGCTGACCTTTGCTAATTCATTGAGAGGGGACCCTGATTAACTGGGCCTATTGACCTCCGAAAATCACATGATAGGGCGAGGTTAGGGTTGCACAATGAGTTCACCTGAAAACTTGTGACCTCCATGTGGCTCATTGTGACCCACACTTGTTTTCACACCTTGGCTCGTGTGATTAGGTAGATAATTGTTATTGTCATAATTCACATAAGCAGTAATGACACCCAGTTATGTCAATCGGAGGTCACTAAAATCAATATTGAATAGCTGTGTAACTTTGCCAAAACAATGTCGGACAATTTTCTCTGGTCCCCTCCCCAATCAGACCAGGAGTGACATGTTTAGCCGCATGTTCTCCTTAAATCGCTGGCTGTCTGAGTGGTGTCCCAGAAACGATGTGGGCTTCAAACATAATTGGCAAACCTTCTTGAGGAAACTTGGTCTTGTTAGGAGAGACGGCATCCATCCCACTTTGAATGGAGCAGCTCTCATTTCTAGAAATATGGACAAATTTATTAAACCCCCCAAAATATGACTATCCAGAGTTTGGACCAGGAAGCAGAGTTGCAGTCTTACACGCTTCTCTGCACCTTCTCTCCTCCTGTTTACCCCCCTCCCCAAAACCCCATCTCCATAGAGACTGTATCAGCTCCCAAACAGAAAAATAGCAAACAAAAAATCAGCAACAAACAACTTAAGCATAGAAAATCAAAAAGACATCTATAACAGACATCTATACCAGACTATAAGAGACATCTATAACATCTGTAACTGTTCAAAGATCTTTGAACAGCGGCGGTGGCTTACAACACCAACTGTCTGCCATCTATTAGCCAGTTTTGAGATTGCTTCCCAGACGCCTTAATGCCCACTCACATCCTGGGCCATCTAACCTCAGGAAATCACATGAAGGGGTGGGGCCAGGTTTCACAGTGAGCTCACCCAAAACCTTGGCTGATTGTGACCCACACCCGCTTTCACACCTTGGCTCATGTGATTAGGTAGGGATCATCAGGGGGTCCTTTTCTCCCTCCTTGGAGGGAAAGTCCCGCAGGGATTAAATCTGGGACTCTCTACCACTTGACCTTAGAACTGAAGAAGCTTCTCAGATGAGAATTGAAACGTCTTCAAGCAATTTGAAGAAGTCCAGACGCCTTTTTTTCGAGGCTCCATAGCCTACGATGACCTGGATGACTGAGAACCGTCACAGACATTTTGACCCTGATTAATTGTGTACTGTTCTTCCTCACACTTCTATCAGACACAACAATGAATAATCCACAGCTGACTCTCTTTAGCAGGCCAAAGGTCAAAGCCCACAAACAGATTGGAGTAGGAATCATTATACATTTACCATCTGACACTGCTGCATGGCATGCTGGGTAATGCTAGCTGGTCAGCTATGGGTGTGTTAACGGCTGTTACCGGCTCCATGGCTGCAGAAAAGTTTGAAACTGAAAAGTTTCTCCAACAGTGGGAAAAATCTCAGACAATATCTGTGAAGTAAAAGCTAAACATAATAATAGAAGAAAAGCAAACACTGAAATACTATGAGTCATCGTGTAAACATTACTATCAGACAGTAAAGTCTTCCAAAGCCTGCTCACCTCACACTTAGTTAAAGGTGCTGGTGCTGTCCACAGATCAGCTGACCTGCTGGGTCTCCATGATCAGCTTTGATTTTTGGAGAAAAAGGAAGAGCCCTTTAGAGCTTCAGTTCTCTAGAGCAGCAGGATGTCTGAGTTCTGCAGAAACACAAAAACACAACAGCTAAAAATAGGTGTTCAAAGAAAATGAGGTGGGAGCTGCTGATTCCTGAGCTTTGATACTGGATTAGCTTCAGTAGTTATACCCATCACTGCTGTAGGAGCTACATTTAGTTACAGCTGATTGTATTCTTAGAACAATAAGAATGACTATTACTCTAAAAAAAATCACACAAGGAACCAATGAGAGTGAAGAACAGGATCAACAGCTCCTGTGATGGTGGCAAATAAATGAGCACACTGTAGCAGTTTCAACACGTTCAACATGTTAAACACCAGATTATAGCAGTTTATATCTGGATGAAAGTAGAATGAGCTCAGCGGAGCTCAGTCCAATATCTTTGGTTAGATGGAACAACATCAGCGATATAATGCTGCTCAAGCATATTCCAGCAGTGCGCTTACATTACAACAGCTAATGAGTGAAATCTGTGTATATGAGAAATATATATATGATTGCTCGCAGCTTGTGCACTGTTGGATCTCCAAATATTCATTTGGCTGAAGTCTGTGAAGAAACTGTGGTCCACAGGGTACCGCCCCAGATTGGACCGCGCTCCCCAGATCACTGCAGCATTCTCAGCTGGTACATGGATTACTCTATTTCTCAATATTGGAACTAGAGATGGACCGATATTACGTATCGTTATAGGTCCGATACTGACCTAAATTACTGGATCGGATATCGGAGAAAAAAAAAAAGCAATCCGATCTAAAGTATCACAAAATCACCCCACAAAACGCGCTACTTGGCGTAACCCAGCTCGGTGCATCGGAGCAGTATGTGTCACGTGATAGAGTGGCTGTTGTCTACGAGACCTGTCGGTGGTCTGTTGGAGCATTTGGAGCCTCGCTACATGCTTCCTAACCGCGGCATTTCATCTGAAAACTATCCCCTTGAAGTAAAGCAAGTGCATAAGGTCATCCTTGAATGTTTGCATAGTATTTCCACCTTAAGCTTAACAACTGATATATTGAGCCACAGCTGGACTGGCCCTCGGAGTTCCATATTGAGGTGAAAAGGAAGCGATTTGTCCCGTACTTCAGCTAGAATTAAAAAATAGACACAAAGCTGGAGTTATTCTGTCTTTGCTGCGCAGTTGCATCTACTTCTCTCATTCTCTCCCCCTCCCTCTCCTGTTATTACTTCAAACATGAAACTGATTAATGGTAAAAGGTAAATGGTAAATGGCCTGTATTTGTATAGCGCTTTTACTAGTCCCCCCTAGGGACCCCAAAGCGCTTTACACACCCAGTCATCCACCCATTCACAAAAACATTCACACATTGGTGGAGGCAAGCTACAGTTGTAGCCACAGCTGCCCTGGGGGATTAATGATTAATGATCAGCTTTTCTGCCGCAAGTCCCGTCTTTCTTGTTTGTTTATCGTCCACTTTGCGCTAGCAAGAGGAGACCAACAGATAAACAACAGCAGCACGTTTAAGCGTGATAAGCTGTTGTTAAAATTTATTTAATATTACTTTTTAGTATCAGCTGAGGTTTGCTGGAGCCACAGCTGTAAAAGCTGCTGATCATGATATCCATTTGGATATGTGGTGAGAGGGAAACATGAAGATGAAACCAGGAGATGTCCTTACTGAATCATCAGAGCTGAGCAGGTGATGGAGAAACACGTTTGGGAAGGTACCATCTGTGCAGTCTGCAATTCTGTTGAAGAAAGATGTTGAATCTATTTAATTATTGTAGAAAAATAAGTGATTTCTGTGCATTTGTTTTACACTTGCATTAAATTAAAGTTGATTTTTGCTGGGAGCTGGCAACCCTATTAGTTAGGTAGGTAAGTACTCTTTAAAATACCAGAATAGGGAGGATGGTGTAGGTTTAAACCTATTAGATTGATCAGTGTTGCTTAACTATAAAATGTTTTGGGCGGAGTGTTATTTGCATACAGGTATAACAGAATAGCTTCAGTTTCTTGTTTTTTTAAAACTTGAGTATGAACTTATACAAAATGCAGCAAGATATTAATAAAAAACTGTTTTATTGATTACAAAATACGCTATATCGGATTAATATCGGTATCGGCAGATATCCAAATTTATGATATCGGAATCGGTATCGGACATTAAAAAGTGGTATCAGGCCATCTCTAATTGGAACCCCCGCAGGTCCATCCACACCACAAGAGTCTTCTCACTTGCCTCTTCTTTTTCCTCATCCTTTATTGGCCATGCTGAGTCATTGTTCTTGCTGTATTATTCCAAAATGCAGCGCTGATTTTCCGGCCTGGAATTCACAAGTATGGTGCTGGTGTTTCATCAGGTGGGAAAAAAATCCTCCACTGATCCAGAACAAAGGTCCAGAGTTTGATCCCTCCTAGTAGGACAGTAAACATACTGATAAGAGGTTCAAAGTGCCTTTATAAGCAGACATGATTCAAGTCAACCAGTATGAGTTTGGCTCCTGCAATCTGTGCATCATAAACAGTGCTGAAGGTGAATGTGCTCTGCTGTTTGAGGGCTGTGGACACTCAGGTAAAAAGGAAGAAATAATGCTGTCGTAGGTTCCAGGACAGTCACAGAGTTAAGGCATGGTTTGTGAACATAAAGACAGAAAGGCCATCCAAATCCTCGGATTAAAAGTGTGTATCCTGGTCATGTCCAGTAAAACACGTCTCTGTGAAAGCTTCTTCTTCAGCTCTGAACAGATTATGAAGCACTGAATGATTTCAAGCACACACTTCATCTAATAAACTTACATCTTTCATTCTTTATACAGATTGAGGAGCTGTGGTTTGTCAGAGATCAGCTGTAATTATCTGGCAGCAGCACTGAAGTCCAACCCCTCCCATCTGAGAGTGCTGGACCTGAGTAAGAACCAGCTGCGGGATTTAGGCATGAAGCAGCTGTGTGGTTTTCTGGAGAGTCCAGGATGTGGACTTGAAACTCTGAGGTCAGTCAGCATGTGTTAGTTAGTTGTGCTGAGATATGATGTGAAAGTTGTGCTGACACTAAACTGCAGACAGAAGGCTGATATTACACTGGTCCACACTGAGGATCTTCATGGTAAAGTCTGTTTTCTTCTTTTCTGGTTTAGTCCATTTACATTAGCGGAACAATGTTCACATTGAAAACAGTGATACTCAACTTATGGCCCGTGGCCCTCCACAGGTGCAAAGCAGCCTGTCAACCTTTCCTAATTCAGAGAGAGGGGACCCTGTGAAGCAATCTTTGAAAAACAAATAGTTTTGAGCAGGAATTATTGCACATTTACAAACTGACACTTCATGCTGGGTAATGCTAGCTGATCAGGTCTGGGTGTGTTAATGGGTATGAGAGTCTCAGTGGCTGCAGAACACTGAAGAAGAGAAAAGAGAGATGGAGGATGAAGAAAAAAGGCTGCAGCAGATGTTTCTAAGAGTTTGATAACCAAGCTGTTACCAACATCCTGCACCGTGTTCTTGTTCAACATGAGAAAAACACAAGACTAGTTTCACACGAGGATTGAAGCCTTGGCTGTTTATTAGATGACCCACATGCATTATGATCCCTCAATACAATCAGATTCTGCTTAGAACTGCATTCAACACTATTGAGGTAATATTAAGCAGAAGTTCTGGAGAGGAGCTGTGTGTGGCTCGACACAGTGACAGTGAAGCAGGTGAAGAGAAATAAATAAAAAACTTTAACAACGGACAGGATTTCATAAGCTGGTATACAAACATGTACAGGGTGGGCCATTTATATGGATACACCGTAATAACCTGGGAATGGTTGGTGATATTAAAGTCCTGTTTGTGGCACATTAGTATATGTGAGGGGGCAAACTCCTCAAGATGGGTGGTGACCATGGTGGCCATTTAGAATGTGTACATCCTCATCATTGAAAGAGTGTCCACTGGCCTGTAGGTGTAAATAGACTGCAGAGTCCTGGCTTGATCAGGTAGCTCTTCTGTGTTGCGTCATCCGCTTTACCAAAGGTTGTTTGGTTTCCCCGATGTATACATCATGGCAATCCTCCTGGCACTTGACAGCGTACACTGTGTTACTCTGTTTGTGTTGCAGGACCTGATCCTTAAGGAGGACCAATGTTTGGCCCAGTGTGTTTGGGGGTTTAAAAGCCACAGAGACACGGTGTTTAGAAAAAATGCATCTCAATTGTTCCGATATTCCTGACACATATCAAATCATATCAAATCACTTTTATTGTCACATCACAAGTGGAGGTACACTGGTACAGTACATACGAGTGAAATTCTTGTGTGTGAGCTTCACAAGCAACAGAGGTGTGCAAAAAAATACAATATCATAAGAACAAGCAAAATATACGAATATCTACATCTGATAGTTATATGAATGAATATATGTACAATATAAGAGTGTATGCACATTACTGAATGCGTATACTAAATATGTATATCTGTGTGTGTGTGTGTGTGTGTGTATACATATTTTACAAATTAAATAGAGTAAACAATAAAATAAAATAAATAAAATATACAGAGGTTGGTAGTTTGACACGTGCAAAACAAGTGGCATTTCTGTACAGTATGGAGTGCTGTGAAATGCACTTCACACACGTACACACACGCACAGTTCTTTGTCGCCAGATGCCACGTTTATTTATGGTTTACATATGTTATGACCGACCACAGTCTGACAGCTCCGGTCTCAGCTGATTTCCAGCCTCCCCTCCGCTCCTCTCCCGTCTCACTATAAAAGGGAAGGAAACCATCATCAGTCCAAACGCCATCAGCTGTTCTCACCTGCGTCTCCAGCACCGC